ACGCCCAAGTGACCCACCTGTTCGGCGGCGCGCCCGATCTGCTTGAGGACTTCAAGCAATTCCTTCCGGAATCGGCTGCTCAGCACAGGGCGCAACAGCAGGCTGCTAAGAATGCTGCCGAAGACGCAGTCATGCTCAGCAATGTACGAGGCGAATCAGGTTATGGCGCGGCCGCGAACCAACAAACTCCTGGTCGTGCGGATACATCTCGACTGCCACCGATGGGTAACTTTGCGCCTACACCTACTGCGAACCGCGACAACAAGAGGAAGCGCGACCGGCAGGGACCTGTGGCTGCGCCCATGCCCCCGTCCATGCCACAGGAACTACCGACCTCGAACGTTCGCGGCGGTTACAACAACCAGGGAAGCGTCAACAAGGTATGTGAAAGATCTTCCACTATTACGGGCAGGGTTAGGTCATGGCATTGTTTTTCTCTATGCGGCACGTGCATTGCCCATAAACTCTACCTTTTCCTTCCATTTCCATGGTTATACCTTATTTCCATTCCAACGCTACCACATCACAAACATTGTCATCAAGACCACCATCACTATGCTTGATGGTGGGGCAAAATTTTACGCTCATCTCAAACTGAGTTGAAATTTGGCTTTGTTCGGATTAAGTAGAAGACAACATAATGGGATCATCAGCTAACATATCAAAGCGCGCGAAAACCGGACATGGCGCAAAGCAGGCAATTCCCGATGGTCCACCAGTGTCACCTACTCTGACACCTGCGCTGCCTGAGCCGATGCCACCGACGACTACCACGTCACCCAACCAAGATGAGCTTGCATTCTTTGATCGCGTCAAGAAATTTATCGGAAACAAGAACACGATGAATGAGTTCTTGAAGCTTTGCAATCTTTACTCGCAAGATCTGATCGACAAGCAATTGCTGATTTACCGCGCGGCATCATTCATCGGAGGAAACCAGGAATTGTATGCCTGGTTCAAGAAGTTCATGGGCGAAGATGAAGAGCAACAGAAGACCCGTCCAAAGACTGTAAACTCTCGTGTCTCGCTATCGAACTGTCGCAGCCTCGGTCCCAGCTATCGCCTGCTCCCTAGGCGCGAGCGTGAGCGTGTATGTAGCGGGCGCGACGAACTGTGCCGATCGGTCCTAAACGACGAGTGGGCATCCCATCCGACATGGGCTTCCGAAGATTCTGGTTTCGTCGCCCATCGCAAGAACACGTTTGAAGAGGGCTTGCACCGAATCGAAGAGGAGCGCCATGACTACGACTTCAATATCGAGGCATGCAGCCGAACGATTCAACAGCTTGAACCAATCGCCAATCAGCTTCTTACGATGAAGCCGGAGGATAGGAATGGATTCACGCTACCGCCTGGACTTGGTGGACAGAGCGAAACAATCTACAAGCGGGTTATCATGAAGATCTACGGCCGCGACAGAGGAAAGGACGTGATTAAGGAGCTCTTCGCTATGCCCTGGAGCGTTGTTCCTGTACTTCTTCACAGGCTGAAGACTAAGCTTGAGGATTGGAAGGCCGCTCAGCGCGAGTGGGAGAAGGTCTGGCGCGATCAGACGCAGAAGATTTTCTGGAAATCCCTGGACCATCAGAGCATTACAGTCAAGCAGGCCGACAAGCGACAGTTCCAGCCCAAGTCACTCACAAACGAGATCCAAGTCCGGTACGAAGAACAGAAGCGACTTCAGCAGATTCAAGAGATATCGCAGCCGGACTACCAATTTGCCTTCTCCTTCAGAGACGAGGAGGTACTCTTCGACGTAGCTCGATTGATGCTCACTTTCGCCGATAACAACAACAGTGCCGACTTTGCCAAGGTTGTGCCTTTTATCAAAGAGTTCGTTCCTCTATTCTTTGGCATAGATACCGCCAAATTCGAGCAACGGGTACAGACATCGGGACGCGATACACCAAACGATTCTGGCGAGGACACACCTTCTCCCGATGACGATGTCTCTCAACGCTCGCAGAAAGGAAAGAAAGGCGATCTCCGCCGCACCATTCTCGATCCCAACAACAAGCCACGCAAGGACAAGGAAGACAGTGTTGCATCGGCGAGTCGGGACAGTACTCCAGATACATCCGGCATGGACGATGAGGCTGCTGGCGACAGCTCGAACTCCAACCTTCGTGCAGATCAACCAAAACGTGAATGGATAGAATATGTTACTACCCCCACGGCTTTTGGCGATAAGGAGTTCGAACATGAAGAACCCTACCAACGCGTAGAGTTCAACATGTACTCGAATGCTTCCATCTACTGCTTCTTCCGTATGTTCGTCATGCTCTACGAAAGGTTGTTGAAGCTCAAAGAGAGTGAAGAGGAGGTCCGAAAGGTCATCAATCGGGCCAAAGAGCCCAAAGCAGCGCAGAAGTTGAAGATGCTTGACAAGCAGCCTGAAGACTTCTTCAAGGACACATCGTCATCAGCGAACTACTATCAACAGCTGCTCGACATGTTCACAGAACAGATATCTGGCGAAGTGGACATGAACTTCATCGAGGAGACCCTACGCAGGTATTATCTTCAGATTGGATGGCAGCTATACTCGTTCGACAGGCTGCTCAGCTCGCTTGTCCGATTCGCGCTCGCTGTAGTGAGTCACGATAACAAGGATAAGAGCCTTGATATCTACAACCTCTTCAGGAAGGACCGCGTCAACGATACTACAACTCACAAGAACGAGATTAGCTATAGAAAGGCGGTCGAGAAATTTGCCAAGGATGCTGACACCTACCGTATCACATACGTAAGTCAACGCCTCGCCCATATCAACGACTACATATTAACACGTCTCCAGAACCCCACCAAGATGGAAGCACACGTACGCCTCTTCAAGAAGGATGACCCAACCTTTGAGTTCAACACGCTCGACCGTGTGAAGCGCTGGCGAGCATACGTCGCCTCCTACATGGCTGTGGAACCCACTGAGGAAGTCGACCTGTCTCGCGTACACTACCCTTACCTTAAGAAGCGCCTGGCCAGAACCGAGGACCTCTCAGAGGAAGAACGATTTGATCACGTCAAGCACAGCGACAAGATCACAGTCTCCATCAGCCCCTCTGCTTACATCATGAGCTTCATCAACAGCGAACCCTTTGGCACTGGTGGCGTTCAGTACTTTGTGCAGCCAGACGCCGTACGCGCGGGCCTGAGTGAGGCTGTACCGAAGCCGACTGAAGAGTACAAGAAGCTCAACGATGAACGGAGGGAGAGGGTCCAGGAAATTCTTGTCAGGAACAACAGCTGGATGAAGGATCTTAGCCGCGACGATGTAGATGCTAAGAAGGCCGCTTTCAAGAAGGATCTCGAGGAGCCTAGGAAGGTGGCTGATAATGAGGATGTGGACATGGATGGCGCAGACGGGTTCGATTAACTTCCTCGTCACTTGGTTTGCGAAGAGAAGGTTGGGTGGCGACGCCCATCGTTGTATCTTTGGCGTTGTGTGGACTTTGATGTCACAGTGCGACGAAGGGTTGGTGTCTACGATTTCTTGCGTTTTGATGTCAACATGTTCGCGTTGCGCGTCCAGAGGAGTGCAGCAAACGGCGTGCCTTGCACAGCACGACATGGTTTTCTTCCGAGACGGCGCTGACGGCGTTTTCAAGGATGATAACCCGACTCGACTCTTCATCTATATCCACTTGTGTTTTTAGGATTGAATGTCATTTTCGTCTTCTCGTATCTTGCTGCGTCTTCTACATTACAATCTTCCCTTGGCAGCTCCATGTTCATGCAGTCACTTGACATTCTTCTCCAACCACTCCTCCCACTGCTCGGCTGTCCAAGAACTACTAATCTCGTTGTTCACAACACCGTCGAACACGACCGTGGGGGTTACATGCACACCGGTCAGTCGATTCGCCTTGACTTGCACCTTGACATCATCCGTGACCCCGTTGCCCGAGTTCAAACTTCCGTCCTCACCGGGCTTATCACTAATCTCCAACAATCCGTAGACCTTGCCCTCATCGACACCCACGGACCCAGCAATCTTAGCAAGCCTCTTATACGTAGCATTCCTCGTTTCATTTACCAGACTGACATCGAAGAAGTCTTTTTGCTGGTCGAACAGCTTCTCGGAGAAATCCCAGAATTTGGACGAGTCAATCTTCTGGACGGCATAGCCGGCTTCGTGGACGAGTGTAGAGGAGGGGTGCCAAGGTTGGATTTGCTGCCGGAAGATAGTCACGACGCGGTCGGAGTACTTCTCTAAGAGTGTTTTACGGAGCGAAGTACCGTAGATTGTTTTGAACATCTTGGCGGAGAAGGGACAGACATAGTCAAGGTCTAGATATAGATGTTAGTTTGCTTGGTGTGCTTTACAGGAATTGGGAAATGCGGATCATGTGCTTAGGGAAAGACAAGAGGGTCGAAGACGTACAGAGCTCGAGAGTATGAACGGCTTTTGGCTGGATGGCATTGGAAGCGAGCTTCTGGCCGGCGAACTTGGGTGCAAGGGCCATGGCTGTTGTTGCTGTGGCTCTAGGACAGGCGGGTTTGAGAGTTTCAATGTGTCTATTGCCTGGAATTGGGACCGCAGAACTTATGTAGGCGCACAGACCATTAGTCAAAAGCAATGCTTATATTGTGAGTTAAAGATGGGGTGAGAGCACGTAATGGCGAGATGTATGCATGGTCTCGGTGCTTCGTGTATGACGAAAGCGGGGCCGGATCTGGCATGTGAAGACATGGGGTCCATGACACCCGTCTCGAGGGACGCTGGCCCAATCATACCGTATTGTACCAATACGATTTTCGATTGTACCTATGCGTTCTCATAAACAATTATCACAGTGTTTGTATGGTACAAAGGGTAGGGTATGCAAGGAATGAACTATGGTCAAGGATAGCTCGCCCCTCCCCCACCGCCAACTCCGCTCACTCCCGAGCTTCAAGCTCCATGCAGCACCTCGTCATAAGCAGCCTATAGTGGGCGCTTCAACCTAGGCATCCACTGTCTCTACTCACACATCTTGTTAGTAACCGTCTGCTTCCCAGCAATGTCCGATCCGAGCTCGACAGACGATGACCTCCTCGCCCGCCTCAACGCGCTCAAGAAGTCCTCTGTCAGCCTAGACACAAATTACGGCGCGTCAACAACGCCTACGAACCCCCCTAAGCCTACTGATGGCCTCGCTGCCCGCTTCGCACGTCTTGGCAGCGCGTCTCCCTCGGGCTCGCCACAGCCGTCACGTACAACGTCCACCAACAATGCAGGCGCACCAGTCGTAGCGCCAGGGGCACCGAGCTACCTGCAAGGCATAGCCCAGGGTATAGGAGGCTCGAATGTAGAGTTTAATGAGGAAGACGAAAAGAGTCTGGAGGAGTTGCTTGGCGAGCTGAAGGGCGCCGTAGGTGACCGAAAAGAATGGGACGTGTCCAAAGAGGAGCAACAAGATGTCGGAAAGCTACTGAAAGACATGCGCAAGATACTACCAGAAGTAGTGAATAGCCGGGCACAAGATTCGCCGGGCGGAAATGGGAAACGCAACCAACCATCGAAGGAGGAACTTACAGACTGGGAGAGCATCGAAATCAATGTTGGAAGTGGAGATGTTGGTAGGGCTCAGGAAGACATGGAAAACGAAGAAGAAGAAGAAGGCAACGAAGACAAGAAAACGAGGACCGAGGACGATGAGGCGGACGATGTAATAGCGAGGGTTATGGCGGAACTAGAGATTAGCAACAAGTACGATCCTCCTTCTCCTCCGTCTGGAGATGACAGATCGGACTCCGGAGGCCAAAAAAGCAAACCAGAGGAGAACACAACGGACGACGGCTTTACACTTCCTTCCGCCCCGAGCACCCTGCCCGAAGACGACTTCGCACGCAGTCAAGCCATCGAGGATGCTTTTACCGCACGCCTGGCCGCCCTAGCTGCCCCTTCTTCATCACAGGCGGATCCTCTTGGTCTCCCCTCTGCTCCATCATTTGCACCCAGGAACAAACCCCCCGTGTCTGCGAATATACAGAAGAAGATTGATGATGAGGTTGATACATGGTGTATCATCTGCCAGGACGACGCGACTCTGAAGTGCTTGGGTTGTGACGACGATTTATATTGCCAGAACTGTTGGATGGAAGGCCATCGAGGGGAGTCTGCTGGCTTCGAGGAGAAGCGACATAAAGCCGTGTTGTATTCGAAGAAGAAGAAACAACAAGCTGCTGCATGAAAGATCAAAGATGAATCTGTAAAAAAAACTTGCATAAGAGACTGAACATCCGAAGGCAGGAGTCTCCAAGGCGGACAATATACGCCTGGCCTACAATGAGGGGAGCAACTGCCGCTAGGCTTAATCGGTTGCCTCCTCTGCCATGGGAAGGAAAGTGTGTATCGGGGCTTATCCTGTAAGCCACCACAGTATAAAGGAGCGCAAGAATCGTCTCGTCCTCCTTGCATCGCGTCGCTGGATACAACAGGAGACTACCTTGTTGCCAGATCAGACGCTCACCGTTAGGTTCGCCTGATGGGAATTTTGCGCCTTCTGTCTTGCTCTAAATTCTACAAGATGCCAGACTACTCCGAGATTCGTGTAGACGAAGCTGAGATGGACCAGGCTGTCGTCCTTGTGCGAAGTCTTGAAGGGTATGGTTATGTCTCGCTCTCGATGCTCCTGCTTCGTATGCGACATGTACACGTAGAGGCATGAAGGTCTCGTTTTGGCACAGCTGATCTAGACTGTGAAGATGGTCATGATGTATTGTCTCATTGTTGGAGTATGGCACAAGTAGGATGGCTGTGGAAGGATTTCAAGAGCCATATGGACTTCAAGATACAGTGATTTTCATCTAGCTTTGTGAGAAGACAAGTGGGAGTCGGTCATAATGGGCTTCTAGCATAAGAGGCAAGTACATACTGTATGTCCGTAGGCGACGCCAGAGTATACTCACGATTTGTGGAACCGCTCATAAACCGCCTCGCACATACCTTGTGATGTGAAGTCAGAAGATCTAGAACGTGGTGATCTTCTCTCACCTAACCTTTCTTGTTTGCTATCTCACCTTTACGGTCAAAAGCGCTGGTCACCGTTTATGTTCATGTCAAAATCAATCCACTGGCTGCATCTTTAAACACTACCATTATCGTCGCTGCAAGACGCTTACTACAGCTATACCTACGACTACTCTCCATATATCTCGAGACCACAACCTGAAGTCGGAATGGCGGAGCACCCCAGGCGTATCTCCGAGATGTACTAAACTCCCCACGATTGCCCATTTTCTGGCTGACCACGTCTCCTAGTACTCCACGCAACTCAGATATATCACCGCTTCTACGTCTCCCTGGAGAGATCAGGAATGAGGTCTATCAATACGTTCTCAACGAAGGCGTCTACCACTTCATGGATGATGATTTATGGCCCATGACCGAATGTGAGGAGCGGTTTGCCCTCCTGCGAGTCTGCCGCGAGATTTACAACGAAACAAGGCTACTTCCATTCTCTCTTAACACATTCAGCTTCAGCAATTTTCAGAACTTCCACAGGTTTATCGTCAAATTCACTACAGCAAAGCAACGTCAAGCCATTCGTGCACTAGACATAGCAATCTGCAATTCATGCTGCATCGACGACATGAAAGACTTTGAAACCCGCCAGATGTACTCGTTATCTGACGTACTTCCGGCTCTGCAATATGTCGACGTATCTAGATACGGTGCGAAGTATTGTGCCAAGGCCACGCTTGAGGAACGGCAGAAGAAGGTCGACCAGTGATTGCGATGCGGTCTGGATGAGCGCGTGGACATGAATATCACATTCGAAGATATGTGATCGGGCCTTGTGTGGGAGGGTCATGACTAGTTGTGACCAAAGTCGGACCAACGAGGAGTTAAATGGATGTGCTTGTTCATGGTTGCGCCATCGTGGGTTCTGCTACCCAACGGGGAGAAAAGACGGTCTATTTACAGTAGATGTCTATTTCTCATTATCTGTGTTCCAGCCGAGACTTTTCACATATCAAGAGTCATCTCTGCATCATAATGCAAAAGTTTTGTATAGACATCGCCGAAAATTTACATTGAGAGCAGGTGTTCTCACTGATATCGACCGCTACCTATGTATATGGTAAAGTCGAGTTCTGAAGCAAAGTCATATCCATGGTATGCAACATACAGTTCCGCCCTCTATTTTACAGCATGTCGAACCACACCCTCAGCGACCCATTTGCCCTCAAACTTCTCCTCGAGCACCCTCAATTTGCTGAAGAAGACATCGTCATCAACATACGCGCCCTTGAGCCACCGCTCACCCTTTGAAGCATCGAAAGCCTTCCTAGCATGCAACACCCTCCTGTTATCGAAGATAACACATTCACCCTCATTCAACCTGTACTCGTACAGATTCTCTTCAGCACTGAGTAGTTTCTCGTATGCATGCGAAGCAGCAATGAATGAGCGAAGCGATGTAGAATGGCCGCTGCCGATACGTGCCTCGAATGGGGCCTGGAAAGGTGGAGACCAATTTATACGGCGAATGGCGAGATTGGTGGGATCACTGTAGTTGGGGTAGGAGAATGTCTCAATCACCGGTCGTGTGAAGTGGTAGTGGTACGTTGGGTGGTGGTAATGGTATGTCACGGGGAAGGTACATAGGGTTCTGAAGTGGCCTTCGGACTGTTGGCGCAGTTGGTGTGCTGCGGCGAAAGAGTCAGAGAAGAAGGATTCACCACCTGGTGTGCGGGCTCGGAGGAAGTGCAGGAATTGCAGATGAGGCGGGTTGGATGTATAGAGGAGATCCATGTGGAGACCGAGGTAATCGGGAGTGTAAGCTATGTTCTCGGCTTTGGGCTTTGAGCGAACGTCCCATGTACGGCCATAGAATGTGTCTTTGAGTGTACCGACACGGGAGGCAAGTGAGACTACGGATTCCTCGGATTCTGGCACGTTTTTGATGAAGAGAAGACCGTATCTGTTGAGGTGAGTGAGTGCTTCGAAGAGTGTTTCGTCTTGGGACATGTAGCTGTCGTAATCAATCCATTTGTTGTCTTTTACGATCCTTTTGTTGTCCCAGAACACTCTGTCATCGTGTCGTACTCCACCACGCAACTCGATTTCAGTGTTGAATGCACGCCGTAGCCAGTCGATAGAGTGCCGTGTGCGATGCTCCGGTCCAAAGCCTTTGACATCAGTCTTCCACGAGAGCTCGATACATGTCCCCTTGTCCTCGTCAACGACTGTCTTGCAGCTGCCCTCAAGATGTTCCGGAATATCTGAAGTCTGGAAGCGCTTGTTCTTGCTGTCAGGGTCCATGCATTGTGTACACGTGCAGCTGTCACGGAGAAATACAGCGTCGAAGACCTTGGGATCTCCATCGATATTCACAGCAATCTTCTTCGCTGGGCTACCGTCGACTTGACCGATGCTCGGATCATTGTGAATGAGAGATTCTTGCTCTTTTGACAGTCTCGAGTCCTGTTCTTGCTGCAGCTGTTCCTGGCGTTTGGTTGGCCGGAAGGGACCATGAGTAGCGGGGCTCCAATCAGCATGCTCGGCCGGCTTAGGTGATCGCCAAAAGGAATTGAAGAAGAAGCGCCGTCTCTGAGCAGCGAATGTAGTCGTGCGAGAGGAAGCCGTAACCTGCAATCTCAGACTTCGTAGCGGTAACTTGGTGGTAACGGTCGAAGACATGGTCGGACGCAGCTGTTTTCAGTGACGAAGTTGGGTGGGGTGGCTTGCTTTTCAGAATCAGGGAGCTTGGTGGAAACAATCAACCCGTAAACCGAGGTCTCTACCCACCCTTTGCCCGGCACGTTTGCAATTAAAGGCGTCGTACCGATAATCGGCAGTTGGCATCTAATAACGCGCGCGAAAATAGCACGTGTATCGCTTGACGCGCTGGGCGCATGTCTGAGGGTGTCGCACAGCTGAAGCATGAGGTAGGAGCTTGTCTATCTTCACTGTTTCGCGACGTGGCAGGCAGGCAGGCGCAGGCTGACGTAGTTGCTAGGGCTCCCAGCGACAGGTTGTCGTCGCAGGTGCGGTTGCCGGCCTGGTATCGCGGTATGTTGGCCCCCTCTTGTTTATGTATAGTGCTGACATAGCTACAGCTTCGTGATAGCTCCTCTCGACGTCATAAAGATCCGCCTGCAACTCCAGATCCACTCCCTCTCCGACCCTCTCAGCGTTCGACATGTCCAGGGACCCGTCTACAAAGGAACAATAGGCACCCTCAAGCAGATCCTTCATGAGGAGGGTGTCACAGGACTATGGAAGGGCAACATACCTGCGGAGTTGATGTACTTGACGTACGGCAGCGCCCAGTTCTCTGCCTATACGTACGTGTCGCACTGGCTAGAGACTATACCTGCACCATATACGCTTCCTAGTTCTGTCACAAACTTCCTCAGTGGTGCGAGTGCGGGTGCTGCTGCTACAACAGCCACCTACCCACTCGATCTTCTGCGCACGCGCTTTGCTGCCCAAGGAAAAGATCGCGTCTATACCTCCATCATAGCGTCGGTGAAGCACATCGCACAGCATGAAGGACCTAGGGGATTCTTTCGCGGCCTCGGCGCAGGTGTGAGCCAGATTGTGCCCTACATGGGCCTCTTCTTCGCCAGCTACGAGAGCTTGAAGCCCGTTACCGCCTCCTCTCCCATACCACTACCACTCGGAAGCTCGGATGCCGTCGCCGGTGTTATCGCGAGCGTTCTTTCCAAAACCGCCGTCTACCCGCTCGACACTACACGCAAGCGACTACAAGTTCAAGGGCCCATGCGCGACCGATACGTTCATCGGAACATACCAACTTATAGCGGTGTCATCAGCACTATAGCGCATATATGGAAGCACGAAGGTAGACGAGGCATGTACCGCGGCTTGACGGTCAGTCTACTGAAGGCTGCGCCAGCCAGCGCCGTTACTATGTGGACATACGAGCGGGCCATGGGGCTCATGTTGGCTTTTGATGAACAGCACAAAGATGATTGAATAGCCTTTTGGCAACTTTAGCATGTATAGACTGGCGTCAAGATACCAAATTCGGCTTCATTGTAGACTGCATTTCCGAATCAAAATTACAATACAACTCGTTCCTTGTAAAAGCACTATGATAGGTTCCCAAACTCACCCTCCCTGCCTCTCCACACGACCTTCACCATAGGTTGTGCTAGGAAGTCTTCGACCCCTTTCTTCGTCATCTCTTCGCTCCACCCTCTGCGTCGCAGCGTCTGCTGTAGAACGAACGCCATATCTACATTGTTTATAGCTACTTCCAGTGTCTCACCCTGAAAGCCTGGTATCACAAAATCCAAGTTTAGCTGTGGAGCCTCGCGAGCAGCAAGGTAGAATGGCGTTGGAAATGGGCCTGGCGGTTGTGGACGCTTGTCCGACTGCGGGCGAGCGAGAAGGACGTGTCTTGCGACGGGTGATTCGTGAAGAGGTGGTAGTGGATGTGGCCGTAAGACAGTGGAACTGGCATGTTATACGTCAAAGTTAGGGTATTCCTTGCTGAAGTCCTTCTCAAACTTGGAGATTTCATTCTGCGTTTGGACATTGTGATTGTTGAGCAGCCAATTTGTGTGCCCTAGTTCTTCAATCTTCTTCTCATTCTCGCGGGCGAGAGCCTCTAGTGCTGCGAGGCGTGAGTTGGTTGACATTTTGTTTGTGCGTGTGTCAGTAAGACCTTGTTAGGCTACGGAGTAGGTCATTTTATAGAAAGAGAGCTGAGTTGTTACCATAGTAATACTCAATATGCACTAAGATCTTGATTTGTGACGGTGTATATTGTGAAGGAACCTTAGCAATTGAAGAGATCAGAAGGGATTTTCACTATAGGAATTGGGTGCTGTATTAGTATCTAGATCTCGAGCGATTTCTGGACTTCATCAGGATTCATCACCTACGCTTAGGGATACATATTAGAAAGAGCCATTTGCAGCGTAGAATTGAACTCCACAAAGTGCTGCATAGCCATTCTCTTTGTACATCATACATATACCATGTACTACAGTGTTACAATAAGACGAAACGACTATCTAATTCTCTTTCACCTTGGATTGATTCACCCATCAGCATTGAGTCGGCATTGCATCAAAATAGCGAAACGCTCTCGAACATTATGACGAATCAAGGATGATTACGCAGAGATTAAGGAGCATCAGGTTAGTATGATGGAAAGTATCGCAAGTGTCACATCGAGTACCAGATGTAAAATACTAAAGTGCCTGAAGCTAAATCAATCGAATTACTTCTATATCTGATACTCTACTGTCTATTGTAACGAACGTGAAAACTTATGCAACATGCCAAAACTCAACTTCATCCTACGCTATGCCCCGTTACTGAAACACTCAAGCCAAGAAAACAAGCAAACGAATGACTCAAGGAGAACCCTCTCTAACAATTACAACCTCGACAACCTCTCAATCTCAGCGCGTCCATGCCTCTAGCGTCGGATCAATATCTCGGCCTCTAGTAAGCCTTCTCACAATGGAAAGTGAAACCGCTCAGCCAAGTCTCGATCGGCTTCGTAACGTCGCCATCCAGATCGACAAAGTTCTTTGCACGACCGTCGATGTCAAAAATCCAGCCAGGGATGTTGAGGTTGACAAGCTGGCACTTGGTCGTGTCTTGGAACTTAGTGAGTTGGGCTGATGTACCGACGATGTTACCGGCACCCTTGTCGACAGCCTTGCCGGCGAAAAGAGAAGATATGTAGTATGGGGTGCCGTCGGCGGGTATGGTGGCTTCTGCATTGGCGCCGCTTTGGTCGTTGTAGATCCGGAGGGTGATTTGAGGAATGGGAGAGGGGATCGCAGTCACTGCCGTGGTAAAGGCGAGGAGGGTGGCGGCGAGGGTAGTGGTGAGCTGCATCTTGATAGATTTGTTGATGGATTGATGATATTGCAGTGTCTTGTTGAAGAACGTTGGTGTTTGTAGAGAAGTCTGGATTGTGGTGTAGAGTGATGATGCTGTTGGTGAAGGGCTACTAGAAAGAGATGATGTCCTGCTTTATACCCTACATAAGTTGTCTTCAGACTCTCTGTTTTCCCAAATAGGAGCCGGTCGTGACACCGTCCGCTGAGCTGTTCGTATACATCGTCAGCGAGTAGCCCGCTCGACGACCGCCTTTTCTCAGCTACATCACAAAGTGACCACCAAATTGGCTTGGGGCCTCATATTTCCGCGCACAAAACATCATGTGAGGTTCGATGGGCATCTGTCTTAGTCAAGGTTGGCGTGTGGCACAGTCTTAGGGCAGGACTGCTATGGTCATAGTGGAGATTATTCAGAGCGCCTATTGGGTTTATTTGGTGGAATATACGCGTGGAAGTTTCTTACAAAAGATTAAAACTCTTGGAAATATCGATGGCGGAAAATTGATGTGAGAAACGAAATGGCGGTGATCGAAGGCAGAGCTGAAGGTAGCTGAATGTGAACTCAGCCTCTGTGGGGCTCGCATCGTCAGCAAACAAGACCAACGCGGCTTCCTCGAAATGAATTACGAGGTGGTCTGATAATAAAAAAAGAGCTTGACTTCTTTCCCCACGACCGACGTAGCTATTTAATTTACAACCTGTTTAGTTCTCTTTAAGGTCTGTGGATCGCATGCTCGTGATACTGGAGTATCTTCAATGCAATCAGAATCCGCTTATGAAATATGCAAAGTACGGTAACAACAGACTGTAATCAATGCAGACTGTAATATATGCAAATTCAAAATGCACGGATAGCAAGGTCGGCGCGCGTGAGGCGCCAGCTGTGCTAGGAATAAACAGAAAGCTGCTCCATTGCCCTCTTTGCTCGAATTTCTTACCGTTAGTCTTGAGGTCGATATTTTGAGAACCAAAGACGATAGGTTTATATGGCGCTAGCGCATACCTATGTGTCGTTGCGCGGGAAAACCAGGTCTACTTCATAACGCCCGAGGAGTCGCTGACGGCCGCATCTATAGCTCATGTACAGGTCACAAACAATCGGCAAATCCAAAAGACAATGTACATGTAGGAGCGTGCTATGACCGGAAGATCGCGAAGAAGAGGGTGCTGTGGAGGTAATGGCAGAGTGAGGTTGGATAAATCGAAAAATTCGGGGAGTCACAACGCGATTGAAGAAACTGGTTTGGCGGAGCGGACTCTGTGTTGGAAGGACTTGTGGCTGGATGGACAGTGCAGAGGATGCTCAGCATGAAACAAAAGAAATAGACGGGCAAGATAGGTAGTCTGGACTATGGTAGATGTCGCCGCCAAGGGGCAAGAGCCTATAGGCGGGATCGAAAAGGGTAAGCTATGTAGCAGGGGTTGATGCCGTTTCGGCCGCGTGGTGAAGGGCGAGGATCGCGGGCGGGTAGGTGGGCAGTCTGAGCGCTTCACGATATCGGAGTTAGCTTGTCAAGGGCACGTAACCGCGCATCTCCCTTGAGTAGCACTCTTGTCATCGATCGGACAAGAGGACCCGAGTACTCGAGTCGCCTCACAATGAAGGGAAGTCATAAGATGGGGGAACGCTTGAAGCAGCGGCTCAATCGATCTTGAGCTCGGAAGGAGTCGGAGATAGCGTTATGGACGCCATAGGGGCACAAGTTTATCTTCCATGATCCTCTCGAGTAATGTGATTATGAAGTGGGCCGTCAATACTGATAGCAGCCACTTTCATCCTCCGTGCAATTTCGATAAATGTAAGAGTGACAGGATCCACTTATTGTGCAGAGTTCTTGACAGTGAAGGATGTGGCATGCTTCGTCGCATTGGGGTGATGCCGCTTTCGACGAATCGAGGGAGTTTTTGAAGCAAATGTTCCAGCCCACCTAGCATTGAAGCTAAGACCTACCCTCATCGACGAGGTTCTAGAAAGTCCTAAGTTTCTGACAAGGGCCGTTGCCGGAAAAGTTCCCACGTCACGGAACCTATGCGTCCGAGGTGGTGAGGTTGACATCCAGCGAAGAGTGCATATATGGAGTTAGCTCAAAATTCGGGGTAACAATAATACCTGAACAGATTTACGTGGAAGCATCAATCTCCTGAGGTCGTTACAAGTGAAAACGAGGTCTACCTCCATCACGCTTGGCAACCCCTGCGCGAGCGATGAGATGCCAGGCGGCCAGCCTGTTGACAGGGACGGCGAAAGACAGGTAGCGAGATGAAGCGAGGGGTGTTTTGATATTAGGAAGGTTGTAGAAAAATGCCAGGGCAGAAAAACATGAGAGGAAGGATTCAAACTCAACGTGAAGGATCAACATAATGATTAGTACTCTTGCAAGGTACCTTGCTTGATAGCGGCTGGTGGCCAATAGAGCTACACTGCAACAGCGCTTGCGGCTGAACCGCGCCCGCTTAGCATCCGTGCCACTTCCACCAGAGCCGAGCCGACCTTCTTGTTCCTGACATCCCCACTCACGCACCGTTCCCAAGCGTTGTGACTATTGCCCCGGATGCAGGGACAAGCAAGCTATTGTTCCGCGGACGGCATGATTGTGGCTCCACTACCAGCTAGTGAGTTACCTTGACGGGCTCGGGTCAGCCTTTCCCACAATTATCTATGCTGGCTGCGGTCAGGGGCAATGGCCTAGCACCTAGCTTTTCGAACGCTATAGCAGGATGACACAAGTAAGCGAGCGACAGACTTCGGCGAAGAGTACAAGAGCTATGGTTTAGAGCGTAGTTGAGTCTGCATCTTGTTATCAAGATACCGGACTTATATCACCCTACACTCGTTTCGACAAATTTCCTTCTTTGCAATATTGCGAACTTTCAACCCCCCCAAGATGCAGTTGACACATTTCTTTGCCGCTGGCTTTCTTGTAGCATCGGCCTCAGCATGGCCTGCTCACCTTCGTCGAGCTGCTGATTGTGAATTCTCCGTTGTAAATCTCTCTGTACAAACTGCATGTGAGACATACACTGACTTCGCACACCCATGTTAAGGCTATAGCTGATATTGGTACGACTTGTGAAAGCTTTGCAGCTAGCTGGCACCTGTCCGTCGACGAGCTCGAACGATTGAATCCCGGCATCAATTGTCCCGATCTAGACTATGACGGTCTGTACTGCGTGGTCGGCACCAACACTGACGATCTGAATACAACTACCACTCCCATGGTTACCACGACGTCTACAATGACCACTTCGGCAACCACTACCACCACCCCCTCCACGACTATCAACTCCTCCGCAAGCACGAATGCTTCAACCACCACCACGGCCAGTGATGATGTTGCCACCTCATCTATGTCTTCAGATCTACCGGCATCTACTGATGCCGCTGATTCGCTTAGAGTGCCGGTCGTCGTTGCTGGTATTCTTGGGTGGGCCGCTTTGGTGTTGTAGATGCGGTCATACATGATGGCTACGGTCTGGAAGAAGAAGAACTGGGTAATGATGTCACACATTGATGAATTGGCGTCCAGACTCTTCAACCTACCTAGCTAGGCATGGTCACGAACTGCAACAGACTTTACTATGTAGCTACTTGTCAGCAGGTCATCAGCTGCAATAAGATCACTCTCGCGGACGTTTTGAAGTGAAACAATGAAGACGGTTCAAACTGCCAAAGTATGTGGCCAGAGACTAACGTTTGCGTTAGTGTTTCGATGGTTCGAAAAATTTCGATACACGTATTTACTTACTCAATATGATAAACAAAAGACGAAAGCATGTATCAAGGATCATTCGCGTTGAGATGACTCTAATGACATTTAAAGACCTTAACAAAGAAGTCATCCGCCGATTTCCAAAACCATCCACGTTCACTTTCTTTTTCTCTCTACTTTACTTACCTCATAGTCTTACACTCTGGCACTTCCTTGTGTCCATCATTCTTTGGACATTAACTTCCCTCAAGGCCCAGATCTAGTAGTCTCGTAGTAACGTTGTGCGGTATAAATAGCGCCCATGCAGCATCTGTCGTACAATTGTGCAGCCTCCTGAGTACTGGTTGTTTGTTTACGATCACTTGGCCTGAGTGAAAACTATATGTTTTGTGATGAAGGCAGACGCGCATTAATCGAGTGGTATACTCGTTTTGGACCTATACAGTCACTGCGTGCGCGCTTCTGTGGATTGATCCCCCAAGGTACACGAAGATATGTGAGCTGCTACGCACAGCAGAAAAACACCCCATGAGAGTCGACTGGTGCGTAATACGGTAGTCAGTAATGTGTAGGAAGGCTCTTCTCTGAGCTCCAAGAATATACCGGCGTCAGGCTGGAGCCTAGTGTATAGACAACGAAAACCACGAGTACATTGCGGCGAACACCCTGAGTAAATTCGTATTGCGGTACAACACTATGCTTTTGAATTGAGAGTATCGCTGATATCATATCCATCATAAGGGTCGTAATCCCATACCCCAGAAAACGCCATCTATCCATATGTGCTCATCAAAGCATTTTTTTTCCATCGCTCTTAACAATTCCAGGACTTCTAGCAGAAAAATTACTGTGTGGCGGGAGCAGCATTGTTCGAAGTCTTTCCGTTGGTGATCTTAGGACCAACGACGGCTTCCTCAAGTGCTCGCTTTACATCGGCAACAAGATCCGCCTCATCCTCAACACCGCAACTAATGCGAACGAGGTCGTCAAAGACACCAGCGGCTTCACGCTGCTCCTTGGGAATACCGCCGTGTGTCATGGCACTGGGTACCTCGACCAACGATTCAACGCCACCAAGCGACTCAGCCAGCGTGAAGATCTTGGTTGCTTGGCAGAAGCGCTCTGCAGCTGCGTGGCCGCCCTGAATACGGAATGACAGCATACCGCCACCCATTCCATCGCGGTGCTGCTTCAATGCAATGTGGTGTTGTGGGTGAGAAGGCAGACCAGGGTAGTTGACGGATACGACGTGTGGTGAGGCTTCGAGGGCCTTCGCAACACCTGTAGCGTTTTTGGTAGCTTCCCGAGCGCGAAGATGCAGGGTCTTGAGACCGCGGTGTGCGAGCCAGCAGTCGAATGCCGAGGGAACAGCACCAATGGCGTTCTGTAGGAAAGACAAACGCTCATATAGCTCATCCGAGTTGAAGGCCGCAGCGCCCATGACAACATCAGAGTGTCCGTTGATGTACTTGGTGACTGAATGTACCACGATATCGGCGCCATGGTCCAAGGGATTCTGAACGTACGGGCTCATGAAGGTGTTGTCCACAACCACCATGATGCCGTGCTGATGCGCAATCGTCGAGATCTTGCGGATGTCCACCAGCGTCAGGGTAGGGTTAGACGGCGACTCGATCCAGATGAGCTTTGTGTTGGGGCGAATGAGCTCAGCGATGTCAATCTCGATGCTCGGGCTGAATGTAACCTTGACATCGTGGGTCAGGGCTACCTTGGTAAAGTAGCGGTGGGTTCCTCCGTAGACGTCTGAGACGGAAACAACGTGGGAGCCAGCCGCGAGCGATTGGAGGATATTGGCCGTGGTAGCAGAACCTGAGGAGAATGCAAGCGCATAGCGGGCATGTTCGAGGGCGGCGACAGCTTTCTCAAAGTTGTCTCTGGAAGCGCGTTAGTAATGAAAGTGTAGAAAGTGATCGCAGACACATACCGGTTGGGGTTCGAGGATCGCGAGTACTCGTACTCGCCTATTGGCTTCCCAACGGCGGTTTGCGCAAATGTTGTCGACAGCGAGATCTGCCTCGGTCAGCTACGCGCCCTTCAGACAATGAATCGGCAGTACGTACAGATTCAATTACAGCTCCCGTGACAGGGTCGTGAGGACTTCCGGCGTGTACGGCGAGCGTACCGAATCTGTGGACTGGTGATGGCGCGCGTGGCGGGGTGTCAATGGGGTGCTCGGGGACCGTCATCTTGCTCTGGTGAATGCTCTCTGGACAGCCGAGTCGACTTGGTGGTACAAAAGGACTTGAATTCAAAAATGTAGTGAGAGCAGAATAATTCAGAACAAAGTTCAGACCTCCGAGGTGTTGACGTCTATGGATGATTTATTGTTCTAGCGACAAATCCTAGCGCGCTTTCTATCGGTGGTGCCGTCGACCGTGATGGCGCGAAAGAGAATAATTCTTTCTGGCAGAATTTCCTTTCAAAGTGGAGATGGAAGCAAGGGGGATGATTCTTCGTGACTCCCAGCTTCTTATACCCAACAAGCCCCGTCCAATGTCTGGTATTTCTCAGCAACAGATTAATCAGACGGCGTTGGCTCTCCAACCGTGGCATGTACAGCTCGGCCCAGCGCGCGTTGGTTTCGTGAGCAAGCGGCGATGGTGTCATAGTATTCTCCGACCCGCCTTGTGACGGCCTTGGCAGTAGCTGATTACACATCGCGCTGCGGCCGCCACCAAGGACAGAAGGTTGTTCGGGCGAGATGCTGTATACGATTTAGAATACGTAAGCACGTTTCAGCAATACAAGCTAGACGCATATGATTCGCATCGTAATGTGATTCAAGTGTGGAGTTATCAATGTGTCTATGAGTGCGCGAATGTCTATGGGTATCTCGGGGTATCATGGTGATGCTTAGTATGTATCCTCCTCTGGTCTGCTCTTGAGTTTCACGTATCCACTTATGCCTTTCTTTCGCGCTGTCTGCTCGCTCTCAGAAGCATCCCCTTTCCGTGATAGCAAAGGCCTTCCGTTTGTCGTAGTAGACGTGAGGTAACTGCGTCCATCATCTAAACCTGTGTTACCACGCCTTTTCTCGCCAACTACAACTGGGTCTTCAGCGATCAGGTTCTCCATATCTTCCCATTCCTTCTGGTTAAGCACGTCCCATTCTTGTGCTTGTTGCTCAGCAAGTAAGAATCCTTTCAGCTCGTCAACAATCTTCGTCGGAGACAAGCCCCATCCGCTGATGTATTGGGCGTTCTCGGCAATGCCGAGAAAGGAATGTGAAGTGGCATGCGAAAGTTGTCCGAAGCCTACAGCCGACTTGCGAAGAATCGATCTAGAGGACTTTGAAGCGGTAATGTCTTTGTCGAATGGGTTCTCAAGACGCTGGGGATTGTATGACTCTTGTGCGATCAGTAACCGATACAGATTGCGACCTATCGAACAGGTATCTTCCCACTGTTTGAAGCTTTCCTTCATGCCCTGTGTTCGGCATAGCCAGGCAACATTGTACGCAAGCAGGGATACGCCTTCGATGAAGGACGAGTATGCAGGAGGATCTTCTGCAGAGAGATGACTCAATGGGCGATCGACGAACAGTGCGCGTGGCTTCGGAAGATGTACACGCATATCGAGTGTGCGCGAGGCTTCTGGACTAGCGCTCGATGAATGCGACGGTGTTGAGCCAGGGAAAGGTACCTTTTTACCCTGGTATGAAGATGCTGGACTAAAGATGGTCGGTTGAGGATAGTCACTATGGGGCAATGTGATTTCGGCTGGGAGGCGGATACCCAGATAGGCAGCGACTCGAACGAGGAGTTGAGCTACGGCAGCTAGAGAGGCGGATAGGCCGTCAGGTGCGACATCTTTCCGATTATTAGCATACTGTCTCAATAGGTGTGACAGAAACTTACCGTTCAGATCTCGTAGATCATGGATCCGCAGGCGCGTGCCAGGCCCTATATTAAAGACCTCTTTAATGCTACCGTCTCTAGTCTTTCGTCGCTGCATCTTAAGTCCTGCGAGTTTCGCAGCAGTCGTGCATAGCTGCATGCGCAGGTCTATGGTATCGTGATGCATCTTGTCCGCATTGTAGTCGGTCCTCTTGACTTTCTGTTGCGCCTTATCCAGTTCATTCGCCCGCCGCGACTCGATGCCGTAAGTGGCGGATGAGAGGTCCGACTTCCTTTGCGCGTTCGCCGCACGCTTCGCCTCGAGCTGCTTCCTTGTGGCCTCCATCTGCTGTCGAAGCTGATCAGCGTGCTTTGATATCATTCCTAATCGCTCTTGAATTTCCGCCGTCTCTGCTTTCGTCCGCTGCCAGTTCAGATTGTTCGTACATTCCTGCCGGTCGACCAAGAGGCCTCCTTTCGAGTCGGTGAGGGAAACATGCTGGATCGCCTTATCTTCCGAACCGTTTACGATGGCCTTGACGTGTTTCTCGACGGCATCGCGGTCTATCAGCGTCTTTGCGAGTTGGATGCGGGGCTGTTCGAGGTATGAGCGGGCGCAGGTCATGCAGTGGAGCGGCTGGCTCAGGCTGCCTTCTCTCCCACAAATATCGCACTCCATGGTTGAGTGAGAATGATGCTATGTGATTTCGCCTCCAGAAAAGTCGTAGGATGGTAGGTCTGGAGGGTACAGCGAGACCATGGTTGGAGTGATTCGTCGAGGGGGTTGGCGAGTGCCTATGTATCCATGGGGATCGGCCAGTAGGTTGTCCGGTGAATATGTATGCTTCGTGGATGTTGCAGCCCTTGTTTGAAGTAAGGC